CGTAACCCCTGACTTTGGCATTTCTAACCTATGCGACATCACCGCCTTCAGATAGGGGAGAAGCATGTCAAAACTTATGTTTTCGGGGAATCAGTACCTTATAACCTTATAACTCAGTGTCAGACTCCATCAGCAAGACCATTGCTCTGTCCTGAGAGGGACTCACCCTTTATGAAAGACTTTGGCCGCCCCCCCCCCTCATTGCTGGCAGCATTTAGTATGTAGTTTTAGAAGTGACTAAAGTTGACCTAGACCTCGCGCCTTGTTTGCATAGTCTCTTCTACAAATGGACGAGAAAAGACAGATAAAGGATGAGCCATGGCTCAATGAATAAATCCACACCAAGGGAATGAAGTCATAAACGCATTTATAAACCCACTGTCAAAAGACCATCGACCCTTCGATTGGGACCCACGAAAAGACATTTGAAGGGGTACTACATTACGCCACTTAATCATAGTTCCAGCCAAAAAACTTATTCTTTAAAGTTAGTTTTTGGTGTTGGCATGCAAATTGGCATTGGTAACTACCACATTTCCTAGATGAAGGCATTTTTGAAAATTTAGTGTAAGATGAGAGTTTGTAAGATTCATGAACTATCATTGTGTGGCGCAGTGTATTTCGCGAGCGTAGCAATGAAAATCAAATTGCAGTCGCGTAGCGTCTCGATGGCAAGCCCAAGAAATGGCAGTAAGGCATTCTACTCAAACTACTAGCAATAAGAAAATTTCTTACTTCCCTGTTCACAAAATCTTCTGTTGTACGATTGGAATGACAACAAGAAGCTCTCGAGCATGGAGGGGGGAGGGGAGGAGGTAGGTGGTGGTATACAGAACACTAATGGCATGGGAACTCAAAAAATTGGAACAAGCCCAAGCCGCGCGCTCTTTAAAAGTTTTACATACGATTTTTGAATTGCACATGAAAACTTTGTATCAAGTACGCCTTAAAATGCTATTCCGGAAAATAAAGTTGGTTGATTAAATTCGTTACCGGGACAGAATTTTGAAGTTTATTGCGATGCGGCATGCCGCTGCCACTCTGATATTGGACCGGTTTTCAAAGTTTCTAATGCTTGGGAACAACCTGAACCTGGCTCTCTCGAGAGTTGTAGAAAAGGAAATGGAGGAAGAGAGCGAACACTCAGACAGGTGTGATCTTCTTCCGATGAATCGCAAAGCATTAGAAACTTTGAAAACCGATCCATCAGAGTGGCAGCGGCATGCCGCATCGCAATAATCTTCAAAATTCTGTCCCGGTAACGAATCTAATCAACAAACTTTATTTTTTGGAATAGCATTTTAAGGCGTACTTGATTTGCGAACAAAGTTTTCATGTGCAATTATTGTATTAAACGCGACTGTACCGCGACTGTATGTGAGAACCAGGTTCTGAAACCTCTTTCAAAATATTACCTGGAAGGATGCTTTTGATTTTAACATCTTTGGCTAATTTTGTTCGCATTTGAATTTCCTCCTTGATTCCCTCAAGGCTTCTACGTTTGCCTTAGAACAAATCGAAGAATTTTTGCTGTAGCGCTCTTTGCGACCTTTGCAAACTTGTACCACATTCTTGATGACAAACATCCGACAATATCTCTTCCTTCATTCCTTTCAGAGCATCTCTCCATCGTCAGTATTCATATCCTCCAAGCTTCTAGCACTGTTTCCTCCAACCCGCCCCTGTTTAGCGTAGCCATAGTGGAACGGTATCACCAGGCGAATAATCCCGCAGGTTTTTACTACGGTGGCACTTTCTCTCACAATGTACCTACGTGTCTATCAACCATTTCAAATTTTTGATGTCGTGCGGCGAGGGGGTGGGGGTAAACATCTCTGCAGCTATCTCAACTATCACAAGTAATACACTACACGATACGTAGTACAACCTGCATCTCGGAGACGGAGAGCGCGTGACAGCGTATTTCGTTTGAACATGGCGTAGGTTGCGTTTTTCGTCGGCTGTTTCCGTTCGAAACAGCTGTCATCCCGTTTTGTGCAGAACAGAAATGTTGTAACAATTGTACCCAAACGGCAGCATTTACCAAAGCCTTCACTACGTTCAAATGAGGTATACTCGAAATCCCTGAGATCGGGTAGGAGGGGCATTCGAACATTGTAAGGGACTGGTTACTAGTGGAACATTCCAGTCTGGACCACATTGTCATCTTGTTCTGTATTGGACAGAGGCACGACAACGATTGTGTCGAGATGAAAATATCGCATCAGAAGCGTAGACACCTTAAGGGTAAGTTGAAACATGCGGCCACGCCTACCCGATCTCAGGGATTCTAGATTGTATGTACGTAACCACACCCCTCATCTCTTTCATACAGTCATACAGATGATAACGTCGAAATCAGTCCAAGAGGTGTCAGGAGGGATGGGATGAGCCTGACTCTTGATGTCTTGCTCAACCAGTGATCGCTTAGTGATCGATTCAGAAAAACAACTGGTGATGGGTACACCGCGGACAGACACATTCCGTCCTGCTACTGACCGCCCCGTCTCATTGCGGCGATATCAACTGTGGAGTGGAGTTTTGTCATGCCGCTAACAACATAGAGCTCACGTGAAACGAGAAGACCTGCAATCTATTCCTCCGCTCCTCTTTCCCTCTTGAGGCTGGAGTACTATTCCCTTACCTTCCCTAGCGATCATGTGAACGTCACCGATGGGCTTAGCACAACGTACGCAGTTACCCATGGCTGAGCCTACCTTTGTTACTTGTTTAAACTTTTCTCTGATGCGCCGAAGTGTTGCATTCCTAGTGTTACTTCAATAAAATCCTGTATTTGGTGGGCAAATTCCTATCATCAAAGCACGGCCTAAGTATTTCTCGCGAATAAGTAGAACTGCTTGTGTTTACTGCGCCTTTTCACGCTTGTGAGTACAAGCTAAAGTGAAGCTCGCGTAAATTGCCACCGATGGTACCAGTTGTTAGAAATATGGTTCCCATCTAACACTTCCAATATTTTAACTACTATTGATCAGATAAACTGTGGAAATAATACCAACTTTTGGAGAAGGACGAAATTTCAGATGTGTTAGGCCAAAGGACGGTACAACGGTTTGAAATGTATTCAAAGCACGGGTCAGGGAAAAGGAGGAGTTCGTTGTTATCGAGTTGGAAATCGGAGTGTACATGCCATTTGGCTCGCCCATGAATAAAAAAAGCAACGGAAAAAGTCGAAAATGCTTGAAATAAGGCTTTGCCTTGTCTAAGGCAAAACGGCAAAAAATCTATGGCGGTTTACAGACAAGAGGCCAGTCAAGAGCGGCAAGAGAGACGCAACGAGTAAGGCAACCGACAAGATACAACGTGGGCGGGGTCGCTGATTGCTTAACGGATTTACCTGTACAACCTTATGCCTAACTGCCGCTACACTCCAGTTCGCTGCGGACGGCTGGGCGTGTCAGGCAGTATGAGTGTGTCACCCAGTCATACTGCCTTCTTGTTGAAGCGCGCGTGCGACAAAAAGTGGTAGGAAACGAGTAATAAGTACGATATGATACAGTCTATCATACAATAACGATTATTCAGTAGGGCGCAAGTGGCTCACAAAAGAATTTAGGCGTGAGGTTGAATGCATTGTGACAGTCGGCTGCAGACTCAC